AGAGGACCGATTGAGCTGTTTCAACAAATGGATGTAACGCTAGAAGCATTCCCTCGTCTATGCTAAGAAATTTGGAAGAGTTGGCCCACTGATTGGAAGAGATTCATATTTGTGCTTATTCCAAACAAAGCATGATCCCCCGAATTTGGTAGTCCTCAAACAATATCATAAACATTACATGCAAGTAAAATTTTGCTGAGGATAACTCAGAAATTATTGGGGCTGTCTATCGGCCAGAGATTCAGGCAGGATTCAGAAGAGGATGTGGAACCAGGGCTATCAATGCTGAAGTCAGATGGATCTGGACGGAAGGCAGAGAATACCAGAAAGATGTTTACCTATGTTCTATGGACTGTGCAAAGGCGCTCGACTGTGTGGGTCATAACAAATGATGGATAACATCACAAAGAAGGGGGTTTCCAAAGCGCTTCGTTCTGGTCATGCCAAGTCTGCCATCATGCATAACCAAGAGGCAGTTGTTGCGACAGAACCAGGGGCTGCTGGGGTCAAGTCGGGAATAGCATGCCTCGCGATTGGAGCCCGTTCCCGTGTTTATTCAAGCCGCATGCCGAGCGAATAACCCGAGAAGCTGGCCCGAGGAAGGAGAAGACTCCACCCACCCGCGGTAACCAGATGGACCCACCTCCCTGGTTGAAGGTGAAGAGGACCGGAAGCACTGGTGGATGCAGATGAGTGACTACAGCCTTCAGAGTGGATGACACCTCAACGCTCACCACCGTACCAATGAGCAGCATCACGAGAGAGAGAAAAGGGTGGGGTTGTCGAGGATCTCATTGTACTTGACCTCACAATCAACGGTCATGGACGTGAAGGACTTCAAGAAATGAATGACTCAGTGCATCGGGCAGCGCAGCCGCAAAAGACCTCTATAAAGGGTTCAAAAGCAAAGATATCACGTTGCTGCTGATGCAAGCCATGGTATCATCAGTGGCCTCACATGCATCGAGACGCTGGACAAGGATAGGGAAGACCGAGAAGAGTGGACGGCTTTAATAAATTGGGGGGTCGGTGAAGAATAGCCACTGCCAGAAGAATGAGCCAATCTGCGGGAAGACGTACAGCTAGAATGCTCCTTAGAAGTGAAGACGGCGAGCCTTCCTCTCCTGTACTTAGGAGGGGAGTCAGGAGGGGCCAGACCCTGGCCAAGGACGTCCCACTTGGTGGAGGGTCAATGAAAGAGAGGAAGACATGCGATAAGATGAATTGACTTGAATTGAGCTGCCACGAGGGGCTCAAACAGAACAATGACTTGTGAGGACAGTGCCGGACGTGGCAGCATTTCGTTCTGCCTTCTCTAGGGGCCCTTTGACTGGGAACCAGCTGTAAGTCAGCCGAGGACAACAGCACAGACTAACTGGGGGAGACAAGCCCTCGGCCATCTACCTTCATAAGCAATGAGTCGTTAGGAGGCGATTCATCTTAGGGAAATTAAAGCGGGCAAAAGGGCAGCAAGAGAGAGTGGACTGGAAGGCAAATGCGGTCTGTAGTGGGCAGGGGGCAGTAGAAAGTAGGGTGGGCGGAGTTGGCTGCATTGAGAAGGGGACTCTTGAGGAAAGCTCAAGGGAGGTCAGAACATGAGCCATGTGGAGCTTGGGGAATGGACACCAGGCACGGGCACAGGCAGAGCCAGTGTCCTGCTCTGGGAGTGTGTCTGGCACGTCGGTGGCCTGGAAAGAAGGCCAGGGTGGCTGGGCCACCCACGCTCGTGGTGGGTGATGGGAAATGGAGGGGACACAAAATGTTAGGTGGTGCTCGTGCTAAGGAGCAAACAGGCTTCACCGAGAACGTAGTGACAGTTCTAGAACCTCAGGGCTGCTGTGCTAACTGATGGGGTGATGTGTGCTGAGAGCCCTCATTTCTTTTTTTTTTTTTTAAACATTTTATTAGGGGCTCATACAACTGTAATCGCAATCCATACACACATCAATTGTGTAAAGCGCATTTGTACATCATTCTCAAAACATTTTCTCTCCACTTAAACCCCCAGCATTAGGTCCTTATTTTTCCCCTCCCTCCCCGCTCCCCCCTCCCTCATGAGCGCTTGATAGTTTATAAATTGGTATTTTGTCATATCTTGCCCTGTCCGACGTCTCCCTTCACCCACTTTTCGGTTGTCTGTCCCCCAGGGAGGAGGTCACACACAGCTCCATGTAATCGGTTCCCTCTTTCCTACCCATTCTCCCTTTACCCTCCCTGTTTTGCCACTCACACCACTGGTCCTATAGGGCTCATCCGTCCTGGATTCCCTGTATTTTCAGTTCCTATCTGTACTAGTGTACATCCTCTGGTCTAGCCAGACTTGCAAGATCGAATTCGAGTCATGGTAGTGGGATCGGGGAGGAAACATTTAGGAACTAGAGGAAAGTTGTATTTCTCATCGTTGTTACATCGCACCCTGACTGGCTCATCTCCTCCCCAAGACCCCTTTGCAAGGGGATCTCCAGTGGCCTACTAATGGGCTTTGGATCTCCAAGAGAGCCCTCATTTCTAACACCCCTGTAGGCCATGCGGTGCCACGGCTTGGCCACCCTGCTCTCAGCTGCTGCCTGGTTGTGTTGTTGCCGCCCGGTGTGATTTGTCTAGGAGCCCTGGTGGCGGAGTGGTCACTCGTTGGGCAGTGACCCCAAACGTGCGAGGTCTGAAATGATCAGTCACTCCTCAGGAGAAAGACCGGGCCCTCTACTCCCACGATGACAGTCCCCAAAACGCATAAGGGCAGTTCTACTCTGTCCTGTAGGGTCGCTATGAGCCAGCATGACTCGGTGGCAGAGGGCTTTTTTGTTTTGTTTTTGGAGAACTGAGTCCGTAGTAGCACACGCTTACGATTACAAGGCTGGTGCAGGATTTGGGGAAAGCAGAACAGGGGAGCCGGAGGAAGAGACCCTGCAAACCGCTTTCCGGAAATTCCCAGATGCTGGGACTTGCTTACACCCTGCGCATCCCTGCGAAGGTTTCCTGTGTCATGGGAAAATGAAGGGGCCTGGTGTCAATACTGACTGGACACTGGGTTTGGGCAGAGAGGCAATATGGGGGATTGAACATGGACCACGTTGATTTGATTTTTAAATTCTGAGATCTACACTTCGTACTTTCATGAAGTGCCCTTTGCTGAAGTCAGGGCGCACTAGTCAATGTCATTGTTTCCAAGGTCTGGGCAGCATCAAACTTGACAGCCCCATGTTCCATCTCCCCCTGTGCCCGTCCCGATACCCCTGTCCCCCGCCCCCACCCTGCCTGATCCCTCGGGCTGCTCTGTCATCATTTAGATTCTTGGGAAACCGTTTCTCTGTCCACGTCCACCTCAAACCTAGGAACTACTGACCCCATAGGGCCTTTCACTGGCTAGATAAGGGGGTCTGTGACCCTAGGAGGGCTGCTTTGCTCAGGGTCACAGATAAGAATTAATTGTCCTATTTTTGGTCAGAGAATGGGGTGGAGGAGCTAGAAGAGCAAGCCAAGAGGCAGGGAAGCCGTCAACAGAGCCAGCTGGAAGGGAGGATCCCGCACCTGCTAAGTGGAGGCAGGGCCCTGCCCGGCACATGGTAATGAGGCCCTGAGTGTGGCAGTGGTCAGGCCAGCCCAGCCATGGTCCCGGGGGATGCCCTCAACAGGAGAGCACAGACCCTGGAGTCCAACACAGCCAAGTGCCAAGCCAACCCGCCCACTCCCCAGCCATCTGGGGACTTGCACCTCTGGGGTCCTTAGCTTCTCACCGTCAACTCAGCATGACGGCAGATTCCATGGGATAAACATAGTTAGGGTCTGTGATCCTCAAGATTTTACCCAAAGCAAAGGGGCCCCTAGACTTCGTGGGCCCAGCGAAGGGAGCCACGTTGGAACACGGCACCGGCACCTCTGACATTGCCACGGTCGATGTGGAGGAAGTTGAGTCCCGGCAGGAATCATTCCAGGATGAGCCCAGTGCCCAGTATTCCGTGGGGCAGCCATGGAGGATTCTGTGGTGCCCATCGCACAGGCAGTAAGAGGCAGGGGTGGTGAGAGCCAAACCCATGTTGCTTATAGTCACTTAGGTTCTTGTCAACCACCCCACCCCACCCAATTCTACTTGAAGCCTCTTAGGGAATTGACAACAACAGAATGGACAGAGCCAGGTAAGATACAGAGTTCCCTGCCCTCACACAAACAAAACAAACAAACTCATGGGCATCGAGTCGATTCTCACTCATAGCAACCCTGTAGGGCAGGGTAGAACTGCCCCTGTGGGTTTCCGAGACTGTAATTTGTTATCGGAAGACAAAGCCTCATTGTTTTCCCGAGGAGGGGCTGGTGGCTTCGAACTGCTGACCTTGTGGTTAATAGCCCAATGTGTAACTCATGGCAGCACCAGGGCTCTTGTCCTAGAAGATGTGTAAAGGCAGACTTAGTCAGTTAGTTGGAAATGATAGCCGGGATTTAGAAACAGATGGAGCGGTTTACCTGGATCATATTTAACATGCTTAGCCCATGAGGCCACGAGATTAATAATAATGATGGCAGCTGATGCTTGAGCCCTTACTCTGTCCCCAGGGTCACGGAGTCACATTCTGTTCCATTCTCCTTCATGTTGCAGGAAGTGGCCACAACTATCATCCCCATTTGGTAGATAGGCCTCAAGAGATAGGGAGTGGTGAATCCATCAGAGAAATTCATGGTAGCATCAGGCACTCTGGTCTTTAGAATTCATAGCTTCGTGGATCCCAGAGCCAGGGTGCCCTGGGGAGAAGCACAGCTCCTTGCACCCATAACACAGTGTTTAGGCTTCAGGTGAAGACCCTGGTGTGCCCCCCACCCCACCCCAAACTGCTGAGAAAGTTCCCTCCCACACAGTGGCCTGGGCAGAGTCACCTGCAAGGGTTGACAGGGAGCCAGGGCAAACACTGGGGCCACCTGTCCAGGGCAGCCGAGCCCGGCCCCCTGGCGGGATAGGGCAGTGGGCCTGTGTGTGGGTGAGTTCTTCCCCTCAGCATTGCCTTCTCACTTCTGTAGGAGTTTCTCTGTGACCAGAAGTTCAGTGATGAAGAGGACCTGCCGGAAAAGCTCGCTGCCTTCAAGGGTAAGCTGGGGCTGGCTGTTCTGCCCCCTGGCAGAGCTGGGCTGACCGCTCATCCCCTGTACACCTGCCTCCTTGGCCTCCCAGGGCCAGGCTGGGGCTGTTTCTTTGAGACCATCCGTCTTCCTGGCCTCTGCGGGTCCCCTCGCCCCTCATCCTGCAGGCTGGGGCTCAGGTTGGCCGCTGCCCGCTGCTGCCCAGGCCCTGCCGGCTCCTGGGCCCCAGCATACAATCAGCCCTTTGTGAGCGGCTCCTGCCTCTCCCCTCCGCGGTGGACCCCGTGGAGAATGGACGCTTGTGTGTCACCACAGTGGGGGGGGGAGGCAGAGTTTCTGCCCATTGAATCCCAGCAGCATGGGATGAAAAGAAAACAGGACTTGGGGGCCCGTGTGGGGAAAGGGGCGGCATAAAGGTCCCTCTGTTTGGCCCTGGCTCCTGGTTCCCAGCCAGCCGCTCAATAGGCAAGGGGCTGTGCACATACGGAGTGGGGGCAGGCCCACCTTTCCGAAGGGGCCAGGCATGCAGGGTGCTGGAGTCCTGGGCCCGCCAGAGGCTGCACCCCTCCTCCCCAGCATCTTGGCACCCTCTCCGCTCCAAGGTGAAGGACCAGCCAAGTGCTCCTTAAGCAGCTTCCTGCTTGGTTGGGTAGCAGGACACCTTCGCGAATCCTAGTGACAGCTGGTGTCCAGGGAGTGCTGACCTCCGAGCATACTCTACATGCCGCGTGGCCAGCTCGCTGAATGGCCCGAGTCCTCCCCAGGAGGGAGAGCGTGGTTGATTTGTAGCTGGAGAAAGGGAGGCTGGGGAGGGCGGGCCATTTGCCTGAGATCACACCAGCTCACTCACGGCAGAGTTGGGCCTGGAACCCGTGCCCGTCAGACTCCTAAGGCCCTGCTCTTACCCTGTAATGCTTTTAACATTACCGACAGGAAAGAGACATCCTGTCCCCGTACCAGAATCAGAGAGAGAAGCTCTGGAAGGAGGGATGGGGCCACAGGGGTCTAACGCCCACTCTCCTTGACATCATTGAGAAGGAGGATGGGGCCGGTTGGGATGTCCTGGGATCCCAGGAAGTTATCTTGGAAGGATAGGGAGAGTGGCTATTTTACACCATCAACGCGTAGCAGCCCCATGTGACAGAGTAGAACTGCCCCCTGAGGGCACAAGGGCTGTCATTTTAATTGGAGTCAATTATGGCATCTTTTCTCCTATCAAGCCCCCTAGTGCGTTCGAACCATTGACCTTTCTGTTAGCATCCAGGTGCTTACTCATGGTGGTAACTGACTGCTTGAAAGGGGCTGTACCCAAGAAGCAAACAAACTCACGGCCGCCAAGTCAGTTCTGGCTCATCGTGACCTTGGGGGACAGAGTGGAACTGCCCCCGTGGTTTTCCGAGACTGTCGATCTTTCTAGGGGTAGACAGCCTTGTCTTTTTCCTAAGGAGTAGCTGGGTGGGTTTGACCCGACTATCTTATGACGAGCAGTTCAATGGCTATCCCACTGTACCACAAGGGCTCCTGAAAGAAGGGACTGTAGAGCTCTCCGAATCACCCCCTCATTTGATTGCCACCAGTTTTCCTGAGCGCTTCATGTGCGCAGGAGGTTGGCGGTTCTACCCCACCCACTGTTCCGTGGGAGAAAGACGAGACGGTGTGCTTCTGTAGAGATGGACAGCTTCAGACGCCTGCAAGGGCAGTCATTGTACACTGTCTTTTAGAGCTGCTTGCTGTTGGAGTTGACCCTGCAGCAGTGGGCTCTGGTTGCTACTTCACCCTGGACTTCATTCCAGGTATAGGGACCCAGCCCCGAAAAGCCATTCCGTGGAATGAAGGGAGACCCTCGCAAGGCACCTGGCTGCTTGCACGCGCAGCCCTGGATGGGAGAGACCACGTTTCTTCCCTTTTCTGCCTTCGCTTAATTGTGCCGCTTTCCTGGACCCTGTTCAGGAATTTGGAGTTCAAAGTCTGTGGGTGGGGTCTGGAGGGAGATGCTGTGTAGCCCTGGAACCTGTATGTACCCTTTGTGGGCATGGGCGTTTCTTCTGGAACAGCATTCGGTTCTCAGGGGTGTCCCCAGCAGCCCCCAAGGCTCAGTCACAGAGACGTCTGAGATGGGTGGTTCCTGCTCCTGGCTGCCGGGCTGCTTTGAAAACACACCAATCTTGGCAGGTGGGAACCTGCCCTTCCCAAACACACTGTGGCTGAATCTCCAGGGCTGGTCCCAGCTGGCTCACAGGCAGCCTACGCAGGTGGGAACTCGCCCACTGGGTTGAGACCAGCCTTGCCCCCTGACCATTCTTCCTTCATGGTGCCAGGAGAGAGGGGCACAGGCACTTCCTTCTGAGACAATGACTGGCCTGACAGGACTCATGTCAAGATCCGTGGCTCCATAGGGTGAGGATGTTGGCTCAGGCTTCCCAAGGACCCTGCTCCCAGTCACCCCCACAGGAGCCGCTGGGGGTGCTCCTGCTGCAAAGCTAACACCAGTTTCTGCTCTGTGATTTCCAGAGAAGTACATGGAGTTTGACCTCAACAATGAAGGCGAGATTGGTGAGTGAGGGCGAGGAGGGTATGTGCTGGGAGATGCGTGTTAGGTGTGGGCCGAAACGCAGCTTCATGATGACGCGGGGTGGAGCGAACAGGTCTGCCCCTTGAGTGTGCAACCCATGCTGAAGCCTCCCAAAGTGCCAGGCCGGCCATGCCAGCCTGAGCATGCTGGCCATGCCTCTTAAGGTCATTTCCTCCCAAGTCATCTCCCTGTCCCTCCCTCCCTTCTCTCTCCCCTCTCCCACCTCCCCGCCCATGTGCTACAGGGACCCCTGGCTGGAAAGACTCAGGCCACCCTACAAGGTGGGCGGCTGCCGTGTCCGCTGTACCCACGCCCGTCTTTCCATGTGTACCTGCCCTACAGTGGACAGGGGGCTTTGATGTGTAGGACGTCCCTCTGACAAAGCTGTACTGCACCCTGCTGTCCAGGCCTTGGGGTGACAAAGACCTGCACTTGTGTCCTGACACTTCCACCCTGGTAGGAAGACCATATCTTGATTTTCATCCGGATCACTCTCAAGTTAGGGATGGTGTGATGACCCCCATTTTACAGATGAGGCAATTGAGACCCAATGTGCGTGGGGCCGACTGGGGAAGAGGCTGCCCCGGCCCTTCGCTGAGTGGGGTCTTGTCGCTCCTCCATGGGTCTCTCTCTTAGCAAGATGGTCCCTGCCGCCGCCGTCGCCGCTGCTTCCAGTCCCTCCTCCTCTGTCCTCTCTCTTCGTCTCCCTTATCTGGATATCTGGATCTTTTTTTTTCTTTATAATTTTTTTAGTATAATATTAAAACATAGTCATTGAAAAAAACAACCCAGTCATCATTTAAAAAGTATATTGGACTCTCACTCACTGACTCATTCACTCACTCTCTCACTCACTTTCATTCACCGACTCAGTCTCTCACACTCACTCATTCACTCACTCACTCTCATTCACTCACTCACTCACTCTCACTAAAAAAAAAAAGTATATTGGTAATATATATATATTGGAAAACACAGCACAACCCAAAATGAAAATATATTGCCCACCACCCCTCATCCCAGAAATAAGTAATGGGCTATCAACATATTGGTTTATTCCTTCCATTTAATTTTTGTTTCTCCTTAATACACAAATGTCATGCATATTAGCATTTTAGAACTACCTTTTAACAAAAAACCACACAAACTTAACATGGTGGATATTTTGATACCATTTTTAAAAATCATTTTATTGGGGGCTCGTACAACTCTTATCACAATCCATACATCCATCCATTGTGTCAAGCACATTTGTACATCTGTTGCCATCATCATTCTCAAAACATTTGCTTTCTGCTTGAGCCCTTGATATCAGCTCCTCATTTTTCCCCTCCCTCCCTATGTCCCCTCCCTTCTGAACCCTTGATAATTTATAAATGATTATTATCTTGTCATATCTTACACTGTCTGAGAACTACCTTTTTAAAAACAAACAAAAACAACACAAAAACTTAACATGGTAGATATTTTGACACCATTTTAAAAAATTTACATTTTGACACTATTAACCTTTCTTCTGAAATAATAATGGCTGCATGATATCCCATCCTAGCAATGGATTATCGTTTCCTCGGCTAACGCCTTAGCATTGAGCTCTGATTCTAACGATTATTGAGAGTTCTGAGAAGGGCATCTTTGTCTGCACTGATGATTATTTCTTTAGAGTAAATCCCAGGAATTAGAAGTTCTGGGTTAGAGGCTTTTGAAGCATCTTGCCAAACTGCCCTCCAGAAAGGTCACACTAATTGAGCTGGGGAGACTTGCACTCCCTCCTGAAGAACGCTGCCCAGCTTGCTTTCGAATGCCCTGGGCCTGCTGGCACCTCAGCCCGGTCCTGGCCGCCCTCCTCCCCATGAGCCCTGGCTCACCACACTCCCCAGGACCTGAAGCAGACCCTCTCCACCCCTGCTGCAGCCTCCCTTACTAATCCATTGTTCCCCGAAGAACAATCTGAAGGAAATTGCCTCAGAGTTTGGCTGAAGCAGCGGGCTCAGAGCAACACTCCTCAGGGTGTAGTGACTTTGGGGTGCCTCCCTTGTTTTTCTTGAATTCTGTTATTTTGTTGCTTTTCCCCCTTTGTGGGCTATTTCTGGCAGCCTGGGCCTCCCTCGTTGCCAGCTGCGGGGCTGTGGGAAGCAGGTGGGGAGAAGTGGTCACCTGGAACCCTGGAGGGTAGGTTTTTTTCTTTCTTTTTTTAACAGTTTTGCGAGCGATTTACCCACACGTCATACAATTCAATAATTCAGTCATATCAAGAAGAGTTGTGCAGTTGGTATCATATTCAATTCTAGAACATTTTCTTCTTCTTTACAAGGAAGTCCTTGTTATTCGTGCAGTGTTTTTTCCCCTAATCATGGCAAAAATATAGAGAGCCTTCTCCAACTCTACAACATGCACATGTATAATTCAGTATCATTGATTATACTGGTCATACTGTATAGCCACTATTGATATCCTTTTCCAAATTATCCCACCACCATTAACACAAACGCACTGGTCCCTACACAACTCTTTCCTCTTCATCTATGATAACCACTGGTCAAGTTTGATTTCTTTCTTTGTGTGTGTGTAGTTTTCTTGATATAGTATTCACCTATCATATACTTCCATGGTTAAATCACTTAAAATGAGTTGTATAATCACAATCAGTCCTAGTGCTCCCTCCCCCTTCCCACTTTCATTGTTCGCTCCCCAAATCCCCTCCCCTTCCCTATGGCCCACCCCCCACTGTCACATCTCTCTATGCATAAACTCCTTCTGTGAAGCACAGACCCAACAGAACAATTGCTGTCCTGGGACCCAACAGAAACAATTAAAAACAGAAGCAAAATAAAATGATGAGGATTAAGTAACAAAAAGATAAAAATACAAATAATGAGTAAGAAAGAAAAGACTACCATTCATATTTTAAAAGCCAGGGAAGAAATTTTTGTCATGGAACAAGCTAGAGATACTTGAGCCTAGAACAAATTCAGGTTGGGTCAAGAGGGAGGTCAGCTGACCCAGTGTCAAGTTCAATCGAGCATAATCAAGTTTACAATGATTTCTCTCTGAGGGTAGAGCTGTTGAAGACCCTTGTCTGTGGTGACAGGGGATCTGTCAGAGGCTTAATCAGACTAGATGGCTGTCCTTGGGTGTTGGGCTTCCACTGCCCTCCATAGGAGAGTGGCTTTTATTGCCTGCAGTCAGGCTTCTCCCTGCCCTACCCCCACCTCCCTTGGCTTCAAGTAGGAGGCAGGGGCCTGGCTCACCCTTCCTGAAGGGCATGGCAGAGAGCGAGCGTAACAGGTGTTGTAGGTGCCATCAAGTAGGTTCTGACTCAGAGCGACCCAATGCATTGCACTGTCCAGTCCTGCGCACCCTCACTGCTGTTCCTGTGCTTGAGCCTATTGTTGCAGCTGCTGGGTCCGTCCATCTCATTGAGGGCCTTCCTTTTTTGTTTTTTTGCTGCCCCTCCGCTCTACCAAGCAAGATGTCCTCCAGAGACTGGTTTATCCTGATAATATGTCCAACATATGAGGGGGTACCCCCTAAAGAAACGGAATTGCACTGGGCAGAGCTTTCATAGCATTATGCATTCTGCCCCCATCCCCCGGCCCCCAAGGTGAGCACTGAGCCACTTGCTCTGAGTCAGTGCACCCAGTGGCGTCACCTGGGAAGGCGCTCTGTGGTCACAGTGAAATTTTTTCGTAAAAGCGGTTTCGCTCAAACCTCATTTTTTTGTGATGGCCAATTTAAGAGCACAGCGTGCGGCTGTGAAATTGTGTTTTCTGCTCGGGAAAAATGCCGCAGAAACTGTTGTGATGCGTGATGTTGAGCACAGTTTACAAAGACAGCCCTGTGGGAAAAAATTGTTCTGGACGTCTGTCAACTTCCCGAACGGACAATGTCGACTTCGTGCATTTGGAGTTGGCTCCCCCAGGTCAGACTGTTAATCAAGCTATTTAGAGGTTTTGAAAAGCTTGCGTAACAGTGTGTGTGGCAGTGACATAATCTGTCAGCATGAGCGAAGCGGTGGAGTTTAGGCTATCGATCAGGTCACAACATAACCTCCACCAGGAGGATTCTGGGAACTTCTTTTTCTCCTGGGAAGAGGATCACTCTCTCCGAGTCCTTCCTGTTGACAAGCCACATAGAGCCATGAGGTTGACAGCCAGAGGCCTGGAGCTGGAAGAGCCACGCGGAGACCTGCACTAGGCCTGAGAGGCTTCCACTGCCACTGAATCCACCACTGGCTGGTGATCTTCCTGCATTCGGTATCACTGCATATGCTGCGTGAGTCTCAAGAGGAATTCACCAGCTAATATCGGACTTATGGGCTAATAGTGATCTTATAGACTCTATCTGGACTGGGACATTTTATTGATGCATAATTGCTTCTAGATATAAAGTTCCTTCTTACACATAGAGGAATGTCTCTGGATTTGTTTCTCTAGTCCACGTAGACTGACACCTTGTGCAACCAAAAAGCCCCAGTTTGTGGCAGACAGGCCACTGGTTTTGCCACTGAGACAATGCACCTGCTCACACAGCCATCTCAGTGCACCAGTTTTCAGCAAAAAACAGCATGCCTCTCTTGCCCACGCACCTTACTCACCCGACTTCACTCTGTGTGCCTTCTTTTTGTTTCCGCGAATGAAGAGGCACATGGGAAGACAGCGATTTGAGGACTTAGAAGAGGTGAAGAAAAAAATGAGGGAGGTGCTGTCAGCCATCCAAACAGATGAGTTTAAGAAATGTTTCCAAGACTGGAATCTCAGATTTGACAAACGTATTGAGTGTCGTGGAGAGTACTTTGAAGGTGATAAGGTTGTTTTCTAAAATAATTTACATACATGGCTTTGGAAAAAAATTGTTGTGTTTCTTTTTTTTTTTTTGGTGCTACCCCCGCATATGTGAGATGAAGTCTTTCCATCCTTGCCTCTAAGGAGCAATCTGGCCGGACTTCTTTCAAGACAGAGCTGTTAGTTCTTTGGGCGCCCATGATGCTCTCCGCACCCTTCATCAGTGCCATCATTCAAACGCATCAGTTCTTCCTCAATCTTGCCTCTAGTCGATGTCCAACTTCCACACACATATGAGACAAAGGAAGAGACCAGGACTGGGGTCAGGTGTACCTTAGTCCTGAAAGTAACCTTCTCACCTCTCAACCCTTTAAAGAGGTCTTGTGCAGCCGACTGACCCAAGGCAATGTGTTGTTTGAGCTCGACTGTTGCGTCCATGGGCATTGATTGTGGTCCAGTGGAAACCACCTGCTCCATCCGGGCCCTACCTCGAGAAACAGAGCTGTGTGTGTGTGTGTGTGTGTGTGTGTGTGTGTGTGTGTGTGTCTGAGGTTCTGCGCAGGGGTGTGTGTGTGTGTGTGTGTGTGTGTGTGTGTGTGTGTGTGTGTGTCTGAATCCACCATCCCCTGACCTTAACCATTGGTCTATATGCCCCCAAAGAGATCAGGGAGGGAGTGATGGGCCCCACCCCCACCCCCGCCAGCTTCTCCTGCACTCAGGGGTTTGGTGGGGGTAGAACAGAGCTCTCCTGGCTTCTTCGCTCGGCCCCCAGCAGGCAGTCTATACTGAACGCGCCTGCTCTTCTCCTCTGGCAGACCTGATGTCCTTGAAGAGGATGATGGAAAAACTTGGGGTCCCCAAGACCCACCTGGAGATGAAGAAGATGATCTCAGAGGTCACGGGCGGGGTCAGCGACACCATCTCCTACCGAGACTTTGTGAATATGATGCTGGGGAAGCGGTCCGCGGTCCTCAAGCTGTGAGTGGCTCCCTTCCCTCTCCTGGGGCTTCTGAAGGCAAAGCCACCCTTGAGAGTGGCTGCTGGCTGGGGGGGCACCTCGGCCACCCACCCTCCCACCAGCCGGTACAGCTGTTACCCTGTTTCAGACTCCTCGGATGACCTTCAGGGCAAAGTGTTCAGTCTTTCTGCACTTCAGCCAAGAATCGTTACCAGTCAAATGGCCACATGGATACTGAGCTGGCGGGGGGATTAGACGGGAGTACACATGTAAATCCGGTAGCTGAGTGACAGGCTGAGTAAGTGCTCAACAAGCAATAGCTGGTGATGGTTGATGATTTAAAAAAAAAAACCCACCTCCTCCAAATTCAAGGTCATTGAGTCCATGCTGACTCACCTAGACCCTAGAGGGCAGGGTAGAACTTCCCCTGTGGGTTTCCGAGGCTGTAACCTTTTACGGGAGTAGAGAGCCTCATCTTTCTCCCATGGAGTAGTTGGTGGTTTCAGACTGCTGACCTTGAGGTTAGCAGCCCATGTGTAACCACCAGGCCATCAGGGCTCCTCGGTGATGATGACAGTACAGATGATTCTATTGTGGAAACTCTCAGAGCCCTGCTTTCCTCATTTGCTTGTCTCGCTGGCGGCACGCAGTAGACGGGTGGTAGCCTAGCTTGCATGCTGTAGGCACCTTTGCCCAAAGAGCTGCCAAGACAGCCCCTGGAGGAGCCCTGTAGCCACATGTCAGAGCTGCAAAGGATGCTCGTTAGGCACTGGTGAGCAAAGATCAGCTGTTTTTGTTACCTCTCATTGTATGGAGGAGGAGGAGAAAGCTGAGGCTCAAGGAGGCTGAATAACCTGCTCAGGAGCCCACAGTCTGGCCAGAGTTTTATCAGGGGTTGGGGGGACTTGATGGCAAGAAGCAAAAGAAGTGTGTGAGGCCCAACTCATAGCAGTAAAAGGGGTGGAGCTCTCGAAAGGCCACCCAGTGCGCAGTGGGTTAGTTTACAATGCGTCCAGCTTTCATCGAAGTGACGATTCTTGACGCATGCCATTTACACATCCGTTCCACTAATCTTCCGTGCGCACCAGCATATGTGTACCAGGGATGATTCTAGGTGTTGGGGATCCAGGAAGCGCTGGCCTCACGGAGCTTGCATTCCAGAGCAGGAGGTAGGTAATGTAGAAAGCAACCACAGACGTTGCGAAGCTGTGCTGCGAAGAAAAAGTGCCTGAGAAGAGTAGTGGAGAGGGGGGAAAAGAGGGTGAGCGAAGTCAGAGAGGGGAACATTTGATGAAAGCCCGGAGCACGGGAGGGAGGGAGCCACGTGGAGCTCAGAGACAGCTTTCAAGTTCTGAGGCAGGACCTCGCTTACGTGCCCAGTGGAAGATTCTGCACTGGGGGCTGACTTGTCAAAGGCCCTTTCTAGCTGCTGAAAGGAGGGGATCAGGGAGGCAGTAGGAAGCTTGGGTGTTTGCCCAGGTCAGAAACGACAGAGACTACTTGGCTTGGAGAGGCTATAGGGAAGAAAGGCAAGAGCGGTTGGAACCAGGATTGGTTTTGAAAGTGTAGCAGGAAGGATTTGCTTAAAGGCCTGGATGTGAGTTGTCAAGGAAACAAGGAATTGGGTAATTCCAAGGTGTGGGATCTGAACGGCTAGGCGAGTAGTGATGGTGGCGTTTGCTGAGCTGGAGGAGCAGGTGGGGAAGAAGTCAGAACGAGAGCTGAGTGTGCAAGATGGAGAGATCCAGGGATAAGATATTGTGGACCATCACCCTTTAGGTAGGAGTGAAAACTCAGAAGAGCCCAGCCAGGAAAACAAGAACGGCTTGCGCTTAGGATGTAAGCCTGTCCCCTTACACACATGGAAACCAGAGGGTCCGAGAGTTGAGTGTGTTGTTCTCGTCATCCTCATGGGAGGTGCGAGGGCTAGGCTTTGTGTTCAGGCTTTTGCCCTCCAAGGTTGCACTCTGAACCTTGACCTTGACCTCCCAGACTTGACGCTCAGAGGTGTTGGGGAGGCATTGTTGAGGGTGAGAAGGGACTTTGAAAGCTCTAAATAGAGATCTCTGGTGGCACAGTGGCTGAGTGCTCCATTGCTTATTGACAGGTCAGCAGTTCGAGCCCACCGGAGGCTCCGAGAATGATGTGGCAGTCACCTCCGTAAAGTATTACAGCCTCGGAAACCTGCTGGGGCAGTTCTGCTCCGTCCTTCATGTCTCCATTTGAGTACGACTTGCCAGCAGCGGGTTCCGAGTTTCGTGAATGAGAGCAGTCGAGAAGCCAGGCTTATATTTAAAAACTGTCATCTAAACCGAGCCTTGGCCCAGCCTCACTCTCCCTCCACCAGGCAGTGTGGATAGCGGAGGGCTCGCAGGCTTCCCACCCGAGGTTTGGAGGACATAGGTGGCTCTGCAGCTTAGAACCATTGGCCTGGGTTTCCACCAGATCCCACTAGACAATGGGTTCCAGGATGCTCTGCTGAGGACTCCAGCAGTCTGGAAGGCTGGCTGGCTGGAGACCGTTCCCTGGATAAGGGAAGGAGCCTTAATCTTTTCTGTCTTGTTCTGTTTCTCTCCACCTCCAAACCAGAGTCATGATGTTTGAAGGAAAAGCCAATGAGACCAGTCCCAAGCCAGTTGGCCCCCCACCAGAGAGAGACATTGCCAGCCTGCCCTGAGGACCCCGCCTGGACCTGCCCCTGCCCTCTCCACCCCTGCTCCTTTCTTCAGCTCTCGCTGGCCACCCTGACTCATTGTGATTTGTCTTGTGTGTGTGGTCATTGTGGGTTGGTTGGTTGGTCGGTCTCCTTGGACAGAATCTGTGATCTTTGTGTAAAGCACACATTGCCTGCCTTAAAGGGGATCTGGGTCTTAGACTCCTGAGCTTCCGGTCCCCTCCCTCTCTCCTGCCATCCTTCCATCCTTCCTCTGCCGAAGAGCTGCCAGCACACCAAAAACTACCGCGGCGAGGGGATGGCTAGGAGCCAGGACTGAGAGGCTGAGAGCCTTTGCTCCCAAGCCCCAGCTGCCACCTTCCAGGAGGTCTCTGAGCTCAGGCTCACTGGCCTGGGCCTGGTGAGCACCCAGCCCATTTCAGAAGGCCCTGGCATTGGGCTAAGGCTGTAAGGCCTTGTGAGGTCTTCCTTGGCCAGCCCAGCCCTGTGTTCTTGGCTTAGCCTGGCTTCCTGCCAACCACACCATGCCCTCCACACGCCTCCTGCCCTCAGTGAGGGGCCTCAAGAAGGGAACAAGGATGGCCATTGAAGCCCTTCAAGAAGGTCTTCTCAAAGGACCCTTCTGATCATATTCCCTACTGACTCTAACTTGCCCAGAGAGGGTGCAGCCCACAGGTCCCTGCTGGGATAGGACAGGGCTTTGGAGGGAGAAGTGATCCAGGGACCTTACATTTTAGGAAGGAGGCTGCGGTCACAGGGGAACCAGGAATAAAATACTTGTGGCACAAAGAGTCAGCCCCACTTTTAAACCACTTTCTGATCCCAGTCTGCCGATAACCTGCCAACTCTCTCCAATTTGTCTTCCTGCCCTGCTCACGCTGTCCACGCTTTCAGTCAACAGATATTTATTGGCCACTGTGATAAGCTTTAAGCCCTCCCCTTTTATCTCGACCAGTGCTGGGCCCACTGTCTCTCCTAGTCATCTCTCTTGTTGCAAATCACCCCAAACCTTGAACTTCAGGATGGGATTAGGGGCACCAGTGTCCTTATTATAGATGCACAAGACTCAGGAGTCCTGGTCTACCCTGCAGGTTAGCTGGGCAGCCCTCGCCTGTCACAGGTGAGAAAACAGGGATTAAGTGCCTTGCCCAAAGGTCAGGAGTTAATTTAGAAATGGAAGGGTCTAGTATGGAGCTCAGGTCTTCTGATCCCCTCCCTGTGGCTCATCTCTGCTCTGAGAGCCTCAATCAATGATCAATCAATGGGAAGGCAATCTCTAGGTCAACACTTGGTTGAGACTTCCCTTGCTCTGAAGGTCCTGGGCCAAGACTGACTCTTAGGCCAACACCTCTAAGTCAGCAACAGGGTCTGAGTAAGGCCAGGGCCTGCCTCTGTAGTCTGCCTGCCCCAGAGCCATCTGGCCAAGCCTCAAAACGACTTTTCAGAGTTCACGCAGGAAGGTGTCCAACTTGGTCCCTTGGGCTCTTACCCTGTGTTCTGAACCCCCTTACCTCTCTCCAGCCAGGACTCAGAGGCACTTGTTCGTTGAACATACTAAGCACCTGCTCTGACCTAAGAATCCAGCAGTAAAATGGGACAGCCTCATGGAAGTGAGAGTCTAGTGGGGGAAGTCAGACCCAGACAAAGATGTGCAAGAGGAATGTTAGGGAAGGGAGGCTTTAGGAGTGGCTGCCCCGCAATCTTTGGGGAATGAACCGAGTGCAAACGTGGGCAAGACTTTCTGGAGAAACCTTTATAAGATCTGAGCCCTGGTAGTGTATGTAGTGAGTTACACGTTGGCCTGCTAAATGCAAGGTCTACAGTTCAAAACCACTAGCCCTTTTGTAGGAAAAAGATGAGGCTTTCAACTCCCGTAAAGAGTTAGCGTCAGAAACCCAGAGGGGTAATTAATTCACCCCTGACCTATAGGGTCGCTATGAGTCAGAATTGACTATGTGGCAGGGAGTTTTTTTTCACAAGACTTTAAGTGGGAAGGTCTGAGTGCTGTTGAAGGTTGAAGCCAATGTGAGCTCCCTGTGGCTCCTTAGTGGCCTATAGTCTGCAAGGTCCACGGACCTGTCCTGACAGCAGCTTGGAAGGGTAAGGCAGGAAGTGGGTGGGGAAAAAGCCCGGTTGAGTTACCAGTCGCAACCAGTTCAGGAACAAGACCATCTGACCGTGACTGGCTGACCTTCAAATGCACCACCTTAGTTGAAATTTAAACCCCAGTAAAACATTTATCCCTGTAAATGTCAAATAAAATCCCACTCCTCCCTCCCCTCCCCCAAGATTGTTAGATTAGCTGCCCTGTGCCTTCTCAGTGCCTCTTAGGGACAGAGGCCTTTGAGTTAAGGAAAGCCTTCCTGGCTACTCATCTTCTCCAGTGGACCTGTTCCTCACTCGGAGAGGAAGATAGAACCAACAAGCCTTATTTCAGTGGACTCAACAGCTTATAAACACTGCAGGAAGCCCCCTTAAGAAAGAAAAGCAAAAAAAAAAGAAGGAAAACACGCTGCTTTCAGTTTTGAGGGGGAGGGAGAAAATGGCTCTCTCTTTGCATGGGCCTTACTTTGGGAAACTCCACAGGTTCCCTCTCCTAGAACCCAGCCCTTGGAGGAAAGGGTCCCCAGAGTGTCCCTTGGAAAGGGAAGCGGCACATATTTCCAGTTGTAGCTGTTGGCTCCGGGGTGCTTACTTTGGCTAAGGGCTCAGCTTCTTGACATTTCAGTCTTATTTCTGAGAGACCAAATCTATCTGTCATGTAACCAATGACGTGGGGATTGCCAGTTATGGCTTTGTCCCTGTGACTCAAAAGGGAGGAGTTTGTCAGGCAAATTCAGCCGGATAAAGTGTGTGTGTGTGTGTGTGTGTGTGTGTGTGTGTGTGTGTGTGTGTGTGTGTAAGAGAGAGAGATGTGGGGCATCATCCCTACAGATTGGAAATAAATCAGACAAGCTTACCAACTGTCTCGACTGGCTTATTTTTAAGATGGTTCTTGAGCTCAGCAAATTCAGGAGAGCTCGCTAGGAGCAGATTAAATAAATCCCACTTGCCCGATTCATTTAATCCTCACAACCCCCTGAGGTACCTGCTGTTGTCATTCTTTTTACAAATGAGCAGGCTAAGAGAGCAGAGATGCAATTTGCTGAAGACCTAACCCAAATAGAAAATGTTCTCCCGGAGCTGACCAGATGATTACACGACAAACATTTCTTTCACTTTCTCAAACTCTGGGCCACCGGTTGGATTTCAACTCCTATCGAGCTTATAGGACAGGGTTGAACTGTGCCTGTGGCTTTCCCAGATGGTACCTCTACAGGAACAGAAAGCCTCCTTTCTCCCAGGAGCAGCTGGTGGTTTTCAACTGCTAGAGCTCTGTAAGTTATCAGCACATCACACAACTTGAATGTGCTATTTCCTGGCTGAGGTTTACTCGGGGGATTTTCTCAACATCTCTATGCTTCAGTTGTCTCCTCAATTTAATGGCAACAATAAGCCTTAGGTGGCTCTGGGTACATCCTGCAGACTAAATAGGATACCATTTCTAAAGGGTTTTGCAATGAGCGTGGCATAAATCCTTGTGATCAGGGATGGACCGGAGCAGAAAGTGAAGGCTTTCCTCTGGAGCAGCTGCTGGTTTTGAACTGCCGACCATGATGACCGCAGCCCAATGCGTAACCACTGTACTACCAGGGTCTATAAGATGGACCTGGTGGTGCCCTTTATCCAACCCTTTCAGCCTTCGCTCTTGGACACAAAAAGGTCTCTACCCACCGACCCAGTAACTGTACCTCTCTTCGTTTTTCCTCCCAAAGCCTCTTGCAAAAAGTGCCCCTGGAAATATATATCAAGTTCCTAAGTGACTTCTCCGCATCTAGAAAATAGCCACCTATCTCCAAGGGTTACTGTTGGGTTTCAATAGAACAATGAGCGCGGTGCGTTCAGACTGGAGCAGCCAGAAGAAGCCACGCCCCTGACAGCGGAAACCACGCCCCCGACTCCGCCCAAGCCAGCCAATGGGAGGCGGGCGCCTGGGGAGCGCGCGGCTTCAGGTCGACCTCTAGTTTCTCGGGAGCACGTCGCGGACGGAGGCGCGAAGCGTCATCAGAGCGCGCCGGAAGTGCTCGTCCCGCTGCGCACCACTATCTCCGCGAAGGAAGTTGGCCTCGGAGCGGCCTGTGCTCTGTGGGCCAGGCTGAGGGCGGCAGCAAGCGCTGCTTGGTCACCGCGTGCGGCACGATGGGAGACGAGATGGACGCGATGATCCCCGAGCGGGAGATGAAGGTCAGATGCTGGTCGGGGGTTCCCTCCCCGCCTGCGGCCTGGCGTTGCAGTGTAGGTTCGCTGAACAGCGGGGCGCGGGCGCCGGCTGCCCCGCCTCCAGTTTGAACGGATTACCGCGTTCTGAGTTCTCAAGAGCGTGTTCTGGAGTGCTGCCCGCGTGCTCGCCCCACAGAACGGGTTTCTCTGGTCATTGTTGAGTTTGGGCACCCCTCTTGACTTACCCCAGCTGCCTGTTTGAGTAACTTGAGTAGTGGCAGTAACTATTTTTTGAGCGTGTATGGTGGACGCGTTATCTCCCTCAGTCAGCGTGGCAACCCTCTTAAGCAGTTGTGAGTTTCCCTGTTTTACAGAGGAGCAAATCGAGGTTGGGAAAGTGACTTAGCCAGCCGCATTTGTCAGATATAAATCAAGTCTAGATATATGTAAGACTCTTCTTTACCTTTGTTCCACTCGTGTAGGGTGATCTAGGTTTACCTCATGTCAAAGCCAAGGAATGTCGCTCATCCTACAAAAGCTTGAGTTAAATGGAAAAGCAGGACTATTTTTGGTCCCAGAAATCAGCCTAAAATCAAGAAAATAAAGGGAGGAACCAAGTGGTCCCAATGGCGGTAAAGGTGGAGATTGTTCGGGCGACTTCCTATGGCTGGTCTTGGCCTTTCCTACAAGTTTTGACAAAAGTACAGAGAACGAACAGCATTTCTTCTGAAAACGAACATTTCAGGTGCTTGTGTCACCAACAACCCCTTGGAGTGCACTTAGGGAATAATGATCAATTTCACGTTCAGGGTAATGATTCTTTTCTTTCTTGAGAATCACTGCCTTGGCCAGCCATCCAACACAAGTGTGGTATGCTCCTCTGATACTGCTGGCCGGTGGCAAACGCCAGGAGTACAGGTTTAGAAGATGGTAGTCTCCTTTAAGTGACTGTAACAGAAAGGAAAGCGCTCTTGGGCATGTCCCCCCCCTACTCTTCTGTACCCATGTGAAGACCCAACTAGAGTAAGGGTTACGAGAAAGATGGACCCTTTAACTCCCCTGCATTGTGTAGTCTCATCTAAAAGGTTGTGTGAATTTCTGTTCATCATACAGTTGGAATTAGAGAACACTATTTCATTAAATCATTCGACAAACATATTAAACCTGCAACCCAAGGAAATTGATAGGTTGGATGTGGCAGAAATCTTGGAGGACAAAGCATTCTTAAAAATCTGTGGAGAAAAAAAATGAAGGCTATAGGGATTTTTTTTTTAACACAATAAAGCCATTTGGTACCAAAAAAAAAGAAAAAAATGAAGGCTGAGAAAGATCGTCTGGCTTTTTCAACTTTGGATTCTAAGCATAAGGTGAACTCGGAAACCTTGACTTGAAGATAGGCTTAGAATTGTATTTAAAAATAAAGCATGTATAGCATGGCTTAACTCACAGCCATTGAATAGAGATTCTAACTCCTCATGACCCTAAGTGGGGTTTCTCCTCTATCGGGTTTCTGAGACTAAATCCTTATGGGCGCAGACAACCTCGTTTTTCTCCTGAGGAGCAGCAAGTGGGTTTGAACCACCAACTTTGTCTTTAGCAGGCCAGTGCCTAACGCAGAGTGGGTTGGAGGGAGCAGTGGCAATAGTGCTTTTTTTTTGAGGGACGCTGAATGTTGAGAGATAAGACTTCAAAGCTAGATGGATTAAGCCTTGTCTGACTTTAGAGACTATAGATTTTGGTTCTTTGTTTAAATGTTCTCAGAGCATCTAAGTGGTACTTCAAGGCCTTGAGCTACAGATTGTCCATTGCTGTCATGGGATTTTGTCTGCTGTTTTATATACCTAAGATATATTGAGCTTCGGTCACCTTTCTGTCATGTATTGGAAGGTAGTATTCACAGTAGTTGGATGATACTTTATATTTAACAACTATTAGTCTCTCCTATGGCGCTGGCAGTACATTTTCACATGAAATGGTATAAGGTTATAGGTAACAAAAGGCAACGAATTGAGAGAATAAATACAGAAAAAGGAGATATCGGGGATCTGGTTTAGTAAAAGAAGACTTCGTGCAAGTCTTTTTTGGTCGTTTATTCCATCCAACAAATATTAATAAGCACTTACTATGCCAAAGCAAACCAAACTCACTGCCATTGACCCGATTCCGACTCATAGTGAGGCTGTAAAACAGGGTAGAACTGCCTCTCTGAGTTTCCGAGACTGTAATTCTTTATGGGATTAGAAAGCCCTGTCTCTCTCCTGCAGAGTGGCTGGTGGTTTCGACCTGCTGACCTTGCAGATCTCAGCCCAACTCGAAACCACTACTCCACCAATCAATGCATGAGGCGCCATAGTAGAAAGCACAGGGAAATGAAAAGTACTGAGACCCGTTGTCCATGGCCTCAAGGGTTTGTATCTTTGTGTTATGTTGGAACGGGGTCTCTAGGGATGTAATGATAGACATGATTTAATTTTCTGTTAGGCCTGATTTGTTTTGTTTTGTTTTGATTTTAATCCTTTACCATAGGATTTTCAATTTAGAGCTCTGAAGAAGGTGAGAATCTTTGAGTCTCCAGACAAGTTGCCAAAGGAGCGCTCGAGTTTGCTTGTTGCGTCCAACAAGTACGGTTTGGTCTTCGCTGGCGGAACCAGTGGATTGCAGATTTTCCCTACGAAAAATCTTCTTATTCAAAATAAACCTGGGGACGATCCCAATAAAATCGGTGAGTTACTTGACTTCTGTTGCGTAATAGAGGAGTGGGTGACATGCCAATGTGTTTCCTGCCCAAGCAATCATTCCAGTTTTAAAATGAAAATTGCTGTTTCTCCTGAGTTATAATCCCCCCTACCCCACACCCTCCAAGAGTAAATTCCAGGTGTATGCTGGTAACACTTACTTTTCTAGGTGTTCTCTTTGGGCTTTTGTATTTCTTTTGCTAACCTGTTTGCCCAAACTCGGGGAAAGGAAGAACTTTCCCCTATGCCAGACTGTGATCCTTGCTTCTTAGAACTTGTGTCCTGGACTTCTAGAAGAGTGTAGAAGGGTTCTTGTTGCTTTAATCGTACTAGCCAAACAAATGGCCCTGTGTAATAGTTGGATCATTGTTGCAAAAATTGCACCGGAGCAAACTATAGTCAGCAAGGAGACAGTCACACTTTTGGCTTCCTCAGGTTGTATGAAGACAAGCCCCTGAGGTCTTCAATGTGTCATTGTATTACCCATCTGTAAGAAAGTTGAAATTAATCTACACAATTACATCTTTGTGTGTGTGTGTGTGTAGGTGCGAAAAATGCATTTCACATAGACTTGGGGTTATGACCCTGTGCTTAGAACATTGCCATTTTCTGTTTTTGTCTTCTTGCAGTCGATAAAGTCGAGAGCTTGCTAGTGCCTATGAAATTCCCCATCCACCACTTGGCTCTGAGCTGTGATAATCTTACTCTCTCGGTCTGCATGATGTCCAGTGAGTATGGCTCCATCATCGCTTTCTTTGATGTGCGCACCTTCTCAAATGAGGTAAGCTACTGCAAGGCTGCAGGGTCAGCATGAAAGCTGCAGATGTCCTGGTATGGAGTCACAGTTGGCAGCTGTTTTGGTTGACTTTTAAACTTGAAGTCGTTTTCTGGATTCAAATATGGGCCAAAAAAGATGCCTTAGCATGATGAATAATAGCTCTGTGAGATCAAAGGGGCTGTAAGAGATTATTTCATAACAGTATTTTCATTTCTCATTTGTACACAAGACAGCCTAAGCTCAGGGAGGCTTTGATGACTTGCTCAAACACAAGTTCTATATTCTAGGTCTCTGGCCTTCTTTTGCAGTGGTTTTCCATTTAAGCAGTTTAGTCGTAACAGTCAATAATGTGGAGTGTGTCTGTGGTGTGCCCGGATCTCTATCAACAACTTTTATGCTTTGTCCACAGCCCAACAAAAGGGTATTGCTGCCTTCATTTTGTGCATGAAAAAAACAGGCTCAAAGAATTTAAGCAACTGCCCAGTGTCCCAAACACTGTTAAGGAGCAGAGCCACCATTCTAATCTAGTGTCTTCTCTTGGTTGATTGCTTTAAATGTGTATGTTCACTCAGAAGTTCTGTCCTGAGTGTGCTAAAATAGTTGCCATTTTCAACCCGAGCTTCCCTGTCATTGAGTGGGTTTTGGCTTATGGGAACCCATCAAAACAGGGTGAACTGCCCTTGAGCGTATCCAAGACTAACTCTCCAAGAGTAGAAAGCCGAGGCTCTCTGGAAGTGGATGGTGGTATCAAAGTGCTGACCTTGTGGTTAGCAGCCCAATACATAACCTCGATGCCACCAAGACTCTGCCATTTTCAAGGTCCTATTCGGTAACACATGATTGTGTAAAGTTAAATCTTTTTCGTAGTTATAAAGCACTAGAGTATGATTTGAGGAAATGGGCTTAGTCATCAATTTTGGATATTTAGTGTCTCCGTGTACTTAATTGATTTCTTTTTGCTTTGCTTTAAAAGGCTAAACAGCAGAAGCGCCCATTTGCCTATCATAAGCTCTTAAAAGATGCAGGAGGTATGGTGATCGATATGAAGTGGAACCCCGCTGTGCCGTCCATGGTAGCACTTTGTCTGGCTGATGGCAGTATAGCTGTCCTACAAGTCACGGAAACGGTGAAAGTGTGTGCAACTCTTCCGCCCGAAGTAGCAGTCACATCTGGTAGGTAATAAAGGCTTTCATGCTCTGACATATTGTGATGCTGAGCTAGTTAAAAATTCATATCTAGAAATAAAACTGGGCTGATTAAAAAAGGGTTGTTTTTTTTTTTAGAGATGGAGAGAGGATTTTTCATTTCTGTCGTTAATGTCCTCGAAGCCAAGCAGAATACAACATATATCTGCATGTGCTGAGGTTTTCTGGGGAAAGAAATATTCTGATATAGCTAGTTTCAAGCATATTTTTGAGAATAATTATTTCTGAGTCTAAAAGGGTCATTGTCTGAAAGTCATCTGTACCTTCAGGGGGAAGGGATCCACATAGGGATGGTAGATTCTCCTCGCCTTAGCCCAGGAGCACATTGCTCTCTCCGCCTTCAGCTTTGGGGGAGGCATGTGGGAGAAAGTGCGTGGTCAGCTCTCAGTTGCATGGTACAGGGAGACATCATGAGTCACCGCACCATTCCGATGGTTTCACTCTCACCTTGCCGACTAGGCAGCCTTGTGTGGACTGGCAGAAGGAACTGAAGTGGGGGTCGCACAACTGCCTTGTCACAGGTCTTACTGGTTAGTGCTCTTGTCCTCAGTTCTTAATGGACGCCGTTTTCTTTGTTCAGTGTGCTGGAGCCCCAAAGGAAAGCAGCTGGCAGTGGGAAAACAGAATGGCACCGTGGTCCAGTATCTTCCTGTAAGTTCTCGCCTCAGAGTCAAGAACTTGTCTTAACCATCTTCACTGGGTTTGTTTTTCCCAGTAAAAAGTAACATATTGCAATCACTTCCTCTTTGTATCCTCTCATTTTCCCAAGAGGCACCCTCTATGCTCTGATTAGTAGATCACGCTCCTGACTTTTCTCGATGCTTAGAATAGTCTGTTTTAAATCCAGTATTTTGTTTCTTAACGTGTGCTCGTGCTCTGTGCTTTGATCCCAAATATATGCCATAAAAACATGTCCAGGGGGAAAAGGAGTTAGCGAACAGGCCGTCACTGCCCACTCTGATGTAAAACCCTTGTTGGAGAAAGCATGGTATTCTGTCGCTGTAACACAGCCTGCTCTGAAGGCTTCATTCTGAAACGAGAGACAGCAGAGAAGATGGACACCCCCTTTGTGGTTCATACTCTGATGCTCTCTCTGATTTTCTTAAAATAATACCCACACGTCTTCTTCACTGCGACTTGCACCGCACAAAGAATTTATGGTTGTGAGTTCAAGCGTGGGATCGAAGGAGGGGTTCCCTGGGCAGTACCAAGTGCTGTGCATCCCTCCCTGAGAGACAGGTCTCTGCATGGTGCGGGAAGTAAATGGGATGGCACTGACTGGATTTTCAGTTTTGGGTCGACTCATTGCCAACAGTTGTTACATGAAATCTGGTCTATTGGAGGACATTTTCCTATAAAAAGGAAATGTAGTTGATTTGCTGTTTGTCTTTTTCTTTAACTTACAGTCATATGGGGGTTTGTTTTCAGCTCAGTATCTATAGAACCCCTTCATTCTTTCTAATGGTTGAGTGGAGGTCCCTTGGGTGGATGTGCCATCATCTGTTTGTCCCTCTGCTGTCTACTTACACCAGCCTCAGGGAGTTTGCTCCTGTCAGCGGTGTCCTAGACGGCGCCCTTCCACACGTGGAAATACATTCCTGTGGATCTTTCTGTAGGGTAGGGCTCTGAAAGCAGACACCCACGGTTCCTCCCTGCCTATTCAGTCTCTCGTGGCAAGGGAGAGGAAATACAGGCACGTGTGTAGTACTTGACAGCTTCACTCTTGCAGGGATTGTTTCATTTGACACTTTCTTCTCCCCCCAAACCGTTTCAGACTCTCCAGGAAAAAAAAGTCATTCCTTGTCCTCCATTTTACGAGGCGGATCATCCAGTCAGAGGTAACAAACACACCTGTTGTCTAGTGAACTGGCCTCTGATGAGGCCTGTCTGTATAATCTGGCTAGGTGGGCATTTTAGAAATTTCAAGTCACACGGTGGACCATTTCTGTGTGGGACATTTGAGATGATTTCATTTTCTTAATAAACTAATTAAATCAGCTTATTAAGAATTCTCTGGTAAATAGCTGTATTTCATGGTAAGCAACACGAAATGGATCCCAGTTTTTATTAGGATGCTTTATATTTTTCCCTGATTATACTACTTACTACCTTGTAAATGAATTTGGGCTTCTTGAATCTTTGGGACTCTCGAAGATATAAATATATAATCTGTGAATGATACTTAGTGAATGAAATCTGGACCTTTGTTAAAGCTACAGCACTAAGTGGAGAGCAAATGTTTTGAGAATGATGAGGGAAATGAATGGACAAATGTGCTTTACACAGTTGATGTGTGTATGGATTGTGATAAGAGTTGTATGAGCCCCTAATAAAAAGATTAAAAAAATAATAAAGCTACAGCACTTGGGCTTTTGATCCATGGATGTTAGTTTTATACTGTTCACTGCTTTGCCTGCACTAGATGTTTTTGGTTGTGTTTGGGGGCTGTTACGGTTACTTCCTGCCTACCAGGGTGTATGTCTTTCAGTTCTGGACGTTCTGTGGATCGGCACGTATGTCTTCACCATAGCGTATGCTGCTGCAGATGGGACCTTGGAAACGTCCCCCGATGTGGTGATGGCTTTGCTCCCTGTAAGTATATGGAAGGCTCCTGTTTGCTCTTGAGCAATCTGAGAGGTCTTCTTTCTGATGAAGTGTGAGGTTTAGGTTTTCACGTCTTAAGGTTTGAGTGCTTTCCTGTGGTCTGAGGACCAAAATGGTCATGTGCTCTTACATCATGTTTTACTATTTAGTTAAAAATGTAAAGTTTGCTTTTAAGTTATAAAAGCTATGAGCCTTAGTAGATGTAAAAATAAGGGAAAATTTTTTTAAAAAAACAAACAGCAAAATACCTTGATTAAAAATTTCCCCATCCAGTATCGATTGAATGCTTTCAAAGTTGGGAAGACAAGGCAGAGTTCTGTCTTTGTGTTAATCTTATGCCCTCTAATGAATGTGGTCCTCAGAAACACTCACTGCCATTGTGTGGGTTCCAGTGTGAAGCCGCCCTGTCAGACAGAGTAGACCTGCTCCGTGCGTGGGCTTCTGAGGCTGTAAGTCCGTGTGGGGCGGAGCCTCATTTTCCTTCCTTGGCGAGCCCGGTGCTTTTCATCAGCAAGGATGTGGCACACAGTCCAACTCCTGCCTCACTCTGCCACCAAGGCTCCTCTATGGATTTGGTAGTCAGTTACAAGTAAGTAAAGGATTAAGGAAGGACAGTTGTACTGGAAAAAGTAGAGCAGTGTGAGGGGCAGATGTGTACTGAGCTGCCCTTTTAAGTGGGGTGGTCCAGGATGGCCTTTTTTGCGGAGGTACCATTTGAATAGAGACCAAAGTAAAGTGATGGAGTGGGTCCTTTTAAAGCTGGTGGAAAGTAGCAGTAAGAAGTATCTCATATCTTTAATGCGGTGGCATTTAAGAAGAGCAAAGGACACAGCTTCTGTAAGTAGAAGCGTGAGGGATGGGGCTTTCTACTCCTGGGCCGAGCCACAGCGCTGCCCCGTTCTGCAGTCGCTCGGAGTCGGAGTCGACGAGTTTGTTTTTGCTTTGGTGCTAGTGCGCCTGTTTTGCACCTTCGTTTGCATAGTAAAGTTGTGTCATTAAATGGAATTTGTATTTGGTCATGTGGGTAATTGTCAGCTTATTTTTAGTGGTTCCTTCACTGTCGGATATTGAGATCGCTTTTAGTTTCTCTGTATTTTAAAGAATTCTGTGATGAATGTTTATATGTACATTTTATATGATTTTCTTCTTTAGAATAAATACTTAGAAATGAAGTTTTGAGGTCAAGTCATATATATGTACATATATATATACATATTATAGACTTCAGCAAGCATGACCAAAACACCTTTTTGAAAAGTTATACCAGTTTTCCAGTACTCATGCTTTCCCAATCCAATGTGTGAAAAAATACCTTTAAAAAAAGTCTTTTGATGTAAAATTCACGTATCATACACTACCATAGACGCCATTACAAAGAGTTGTACGTCATCATCACAATCAGTTCTAGTGCTCCCTCCCTCTCCCACACTCAGTATTTGCTCCCCAATTCTGCTCACTTGCCCCACCCCCCATAAACATGCCCTTTTAAAATGAACTTTTTTTAGTCCTTGATAAATTGAATTTTCAAAGTGTGTTTATTAAAGTGCCTTAGTTCGAGGTAACACCAGAATTTTCTTATTCCTGAAGATAATATTAACACTAGCATTTATTAATTCGTGTTTATGTTTCAGGTACTTGGCTAGAGGCTTTATATGTGTCCTTTCTTCTCATATCTGCCAAAGTAGATTTAGTAGGACCATGTACACAGAAGGAAACCAAGTGTCAGGATGAGTAATCTGTTCATTTCTGTCCCATTGGCAGAATGTGGTTTGAATGCATTTCACCTGCTGGCTCGTGTTTGCAGTCTTTGTACTTCTGAGTGTCATCGAAGTATTTTGTCTGTGGTTTTGGACATAGCTCTTGAGCGAATTGTCTCATGAGAGGGAAATGGCTTCATCTTTTGACAATGTTAGTTTTGTGGTGTTGAAGGACGGCCCCACAGATTCCCCGTCCCTTTGTTGCTTGTAGAAGAAAGAAGCAAAGCCCCCCGAGACCTTTGTGAACTTCATGGAGCCCTGCTACAGCAGCTGCACGGAGAGACAGCACCATTACTTCCTCGGGTACATTGAGGAGTGGTGAGTGCCAAGCCCAAGGCTCCA